AAACATTTTTTCTTGCTTAAAATTACCATAAAAGGAAAATTTTTAACAAAACGGACACGATCAGGAGAGAGTTTTTATTTGTTCTGATGATTTTTTGAACATCTCATTGATATTATATATATACATGGGTATATCATTATCTTTAATTCTAATAAAAATAAACAATATTTATTCTTTGTACAATAAAAAATCTCTTTTTTGTAATTAACTTTTAATATAGGGAAATAAATTACATGTATGAGCTACTTCGATCAGATCTATACCCTCTCTTTTACATATATCCCACTTTTTTTGATCATGTGCCCTTTATGAGTTTAGATCATTTGAATTTTTTTGGAACATTGTATTTTGATAATAGTGCTGGACGCCTTGGTGCTCTTATATCAAATTTAACTCTTCATTATATCTATCAAGTCTCAGTCCATCCAAGAACTTTGGTGCACATAGTGGGAATTTTTTGCTTAATAAATCTTCAAAAATGTATTGGCACCAGTGCTCATTAGAAAAATGTGAACAAATTGAACACCATTCAAATTTTGTTGCAATTAATGGATAAGGATATTCAAACTGATGGAGTCTATTTTTGTACGTCCAAAGATATACATTCTGATCATTGATTTGTCCAGTTTTAGCTAAAATACTTTGACTATGTTTCTTGATATATTCCTTGGCTTGAAATAGTTTGCTATTAAAAACTTGAATGAAGTTAACAAATCCAGTATAATATTTTCACATAAATTTATCTGGTGGATATTGGATATTTTCAGGATTTTTAATAACTTGAAGTTCATCTTTCTTAAAAGGTCTTTTTGAATTCCATCCTATCAAATAAGCAGTAGATTCGATAGACTTGTTCTTGAGATAATATAAGACTGATTGTAGTGGATTTTTATTAACAACAATTTTTTCGATTCTATAAATCTGCAATAACCAGTATAAATCAGTTGCTCTATATTTGTAATCCCCTTCTAGTTTACCAGGTTTTAATAAATACCTTATTACAATACCTTTTTTTTTTTAACCCTTGCCGTCAACTCAGGTACCTCTTATCACCTTTTTTGCCAGTCTCCTGATATTTCTCCAGGGTACAGGAGTGATGATGTTGGTCCTAACTACTTGTCTTAGGTTTAAGCCTCTAAGTATAGATAGTGGAGTAGAAAGTTGCTATTTCAAGACAAGCAGACCTTTGCTATTATGCCAGGATAATCATTGTCTGTAGCCATCACTACAGTATTTCAACCATTCAGTTTAGCCAAGACTTACTAGGATTTAGTCAGTGAGATATCATTGGCAGGATGAGGGTACACCAGTATACCAAATTCATCTGGGAATCAGACTCAGCTTCACCCTTCCTAATCTAATTTAGTAACACATGTGGGGGTTACGTTTTATGGGGTCATGCAGTCAACCGTCGCAAGTGTACTCCTTAGGATAGAATATCCCATGATACAAGCAATCTCCTGCATTTCTAACCAGATTCTCGCTACTATTGAACATGTGAAACTTTTACTGATAGTTGTGCAACTAATGGTTTTTAGCCGTCTGTATCTTTCCTTCCACTACTGAAAAAATCCCATGAAACTTCTTCCCCCTTTTGGAGATATTTCCCAAGCAATACTTGATCAGAAAGTTTACCAATCAGATTATCTATCTTTTGACCTATGGGGTATAGTCTACCCATAAGGCTTCTTGATCGCCGGAACAACCCAAATTGTTCTCTATCACGAGTTACAGGAGCAGTGACACAAAATCCCATTTTAGGATATGTGAATTGCCTTCAGATGGAGTTGAACTGTGGTTCATAGGTTAGCCCTACCCTGCTTTAGCCCACTGGACTATGACCGGATAGGTCTATACCTTATTACAATATCTTTCTATAATTTTTGTTTGTATTTTCCAATAGGTCTCTTAGCTTTATTAAAAAGTTTGAATATAACTTCTTTCAATAGCATGGGATGGTGTTATACCAATAAGATAGGTTTTATTGTTATTATATATAGGTAAGAATTTTTTGAAGAGCTTTATCCCATAATTGTGATTGCTTCCCTTCTGTTAATAGCCCCTCAATAGCATATTGAATTTTATATATAAGTTTTGCTACATTCTTTTTTAGTGCTTTAATAAATACCAAACTTTCAAAACTATAAAGATCAACAACTCTTATAACAATATTGTACTGTTTTATTCCTTAAGAAAATGCTTCACGAAAATTTGCATCACTATTAGTTATCAATAACGTTGACCAGGTAAGAGGATTGGTAGAATCTTTATATATTTCTTTAATAACAATCCAAATTCCAAACTATTTCTTGATTTTAGCAAACACCCGCTCTTGAAGCGAGTCACTATATCAATTACTAGTAAATTATAGACAAATATTATTTTACCATCTTGATTATCTTGAATATGAATTAGTATATCATATTGATAGACTTTATTGAGAATCTTAATCTTCTGGAAGCTCACTTCAGCCTTATGTTTTTGTGGAGTAAGAAATATTTGATAATCATATTGATCCTCCAACCACTTTGCTATATCTTTGAGTTGAAAATGTTCATACTCTTCTTTCCGATACACTTTTCATAATTTTTTACTATTTGGATGGAATCCAGATATATTATAGTAAATAAAACGTAAGACAATTTGTAATTCCTCATAAGGATTAATTATAATAGTAGGTATTGTTAACGTCTCTCTCAGCGAGTCTGTCGCTAATGGCAGTAGAAACTCGCGTAACGTCAAGTAGGTTTTTGGCTTTCTCTACTTGAGGTGTGTGATTTTGTTCAGCTGAGTTCTTTACTAATCACCTTTCCTTCTCTTTCCGTTGTCTGCGCTTCCTTGACGAGTCTTACCACTTTCTCTCTTG